GAATGGATGAGAAAAAGACAGAACCAAAAGTCAGATGAGAGATACAAAGAATATAGAAAGGATAGGGCAGAGCTTAAGGAAAGGAAGGAGACAATCAGGGAATGTAAAGATGCAGTGAAAAAGACCAAACTAGCTTACCAGGCATCCTCAAACTACGGCCTGTGGACCAATTGCGGCCCGCCTAGGACATTTATCCAGCCCACCGAGTGTTTTTGCCACCGCTGCCTGTCTTGCTTAGCAGCTGACTCGTCCTGGGGCCCACAGTCTGACACTCTAATGGTCTGAGGGACAGTAAACTAGCCCCCTGTTTAAAAAGTTTGAGGACCCCTGGCTTAGACCATGGAAAAGAATGAATCTCAGAGATAGAGGATAAAGTTAACCAAGGTAGTTAAAGAGCAGAAGAGTGAAAGCAGAACAGGTGCTTAGAGAACAAGACTCCATGAAGCGTTCTAATATATGAGTAATAGGGATCTGGGAAGGGGAAGAAGATTTCCCCAAAGGTACAGAAGCCCTACTGGAGACTATCATAAATGAAAACTTCCCAGATTTTACTAAAGACCCTGACGCACTGCTTTCAGATGGGTATCAACCCCCAGGTCATCTGAACTCACAGCTTCCCCAAGACACATTGTAATGAACCTGTCCAAAGTCAAGAGGAAAGAATAACGTCTAAGAGTAGCCAGGAGTAAGCGCCAACTGATCTATAGGGACAGAGCCATTAGCACGACAGCAGACTTTTCAACTGAAAGCTTCCAAGCCAGAAAAGCATGGTCATCCACCTTCAATGTCCTTAAACGATTTTCAGCCCAGAATTCTGTATCCCGCTAAGCTAAGCTTCAAGTATGATGAAGATATCAAATCTCATGAGGATATACAAGCACTGAGGAAATTTGCTAAAACAAGACCAGCCCTACAGGAAATATTTAGACCTAGTCTCAATACTGACCATCACAGTAGACCACCAGCAAAGTAAACACCCAGAAGCTAAAGATCAAAACTTGGCTTCCACAATGGCACAAAGGATAAAACCACACAATGGACTTTCACAAAATAAGATCAAAATTATTCTACCACACGTCAATTCTCTGAATATATGTCAAGGGCTTAAATTCCCCAATGAAGAGGCACAGGCAGACTGACTGAATAAAAAAGTACAAGCCATCCATATGCTGTATCCAACAAACACACCTAGCCTTAAAGGACAAATCAAGAGTCAGGGTTAAGGGATGGAAAACAGTATTTCAAGTAAATGAAAATCAGAAGGAGGGGTTGCAATCTTATTTTCAGATACAAGCAGATTTAAAGCAACTAAAGTTAAGAAAGTCAAAGATGAACATTTCATACTAGTCAAAGGAACAATATGACAAGAAGACATTTCAATTTTAAATATTCATGAACCCAACTTAAATGCTCCCAGATTTATGAAACAGACCTTGATGGGTCTGAGCAATATGCTATCCCATAACACCACAATAGTTGGGGACTTCAACACTCCCACACACCACTCCCCCCAACAGAACTGGAGAGATCCTATAAACAGAAACCAAACAAACATACAAAGGACTTAAATATGATCCTAGAATAGGATTAATACAAATATACTGAACACACCATCCCAAAGCTAAAGAATATACTTTTTCTCATCACCCTATGGTAAGTACTCCAAAAATAAACCACATCCTAGGATACAAATCAAGCCCCAGCAAAATAAAAGAATTGAAATAACAGCTTGTATCTTCCCAGACCAAAAGATAATAAATGTGGAACTCAACTCCTATAAAAACATTCATCCCCACACAGAGACTTGGACATTAAACAACCCTATACTGAAGGGTAGTTGGGTTCAAGAAGAGGTAAAAGAGGAAAACTGTTAAATTCCTGAATCATAACAGTGAAGACACAAGTTACCAAAACCCATGGGATACAGCAAAAGCAGTCCAAAGAGGGAAATTTGTCACATTAGATGCCTACATTCAAAAAAACAGAACACATCAACAATCTCATGAACCATCTTATCGAGTTGGAAAAAGAACAATCTGACCTGAAACCAAGCAGAAGAAACAAAATTGAAAACAGAAGAATCACTCAGAACATAAACAAAACAAAAGTTGGTTTTTCAACAAAATAAAATTGATAATTCTTTGGCCAGATTAACTAGAACTATTAAAGTAAAATCTCTAATAATCTCAAAGATAAAAGGGGAATAACAACAGGTACCACAGACATAAGAGATCACCTCTGAGTACCACAAGAAACTCTATGCCCACGAGTTTGACATTGTGGAAGAAATGGATCCATACCTGGAATAGCACTCTCTCCCTAGACTTAAGCAAGAACCAATAGATCCTGCCAATAACAGCCAAGATAAGAAGTTAATCAAGGACACAATTCCTTTCACAGTAGCTTAAAAACAAACAAACAAAAAACAAAAAAACTTAGGAATGTATCTAACAAAAGAGGTAAAGGAGCTCTACAATAAAAACTATGAAAGCCTAAGAAAAACAGCAGAAGATATTAACAAATGGAAGAACATATCATGGGAAGAATCAACATTCTCAAATTGTCTATACTTCCCAAAGCAATCTACAGATTCAATGCAATCCCATTAAAGTACTATCATCACACTTTCAAAATTTGGAATAAAATAATTCATTTAGAAAACAATAATTCTTCATCTTGTATGGAACTAGAAAAAACCCTGTATAGCCAAGGCAATTCTTAGTAATAAAAACTAAGCTGAAGGTATCACCCTGACAGGCTTTTGGCTATGCTAGAAGGCTAGTGATCAAAACAGCATGGTACTGGAACAAAAATAGACACACTGACATTTGGAAATGAATAGAAAAGTATGAGATGAAACATCTTATAGCAACCTGATATTTGATAAATCAAACAAGAATGTACACTGGGGAATAGACTCCCTATTCAATAAATGGTGTTGGGAGCACTGGAAAACTACATAGAAGAGATTGAAACTGGACCTGCACCTCTTACCATTTACAAAAATTGACTCAAGACTTGACTGGGCAAGAGACATCAATAGAACCTTCTTTAAAGGAAGACAGACAAATGGCTCACAAACATATGAAAAAAATGCTCATCATTTGTAATCATCAGAGAAATGCAAATCAAAACTACCCTGAGATGTCACCCAATACCACTGAGAATAGCCCATATTACAAAGCCTCAAAGCTGCAGATGCTGGCACAGATGTGGAGAGAAGGGAACACTTTCCCACTGCTGGTGGGACTGCAAACTAATACAACCTTTTTGGAAGGAAGTATGGAGAAT